ATAATGGTCCCAATATCATTGGCATGGACCTTTTTGTAGATTTTCTAAATCTCTCTTGTTATCTTAATGATCAAATTTACATATTCAGGAAAGATTTCTGCTTACGAATGCCCATTTTTTAAGGGGTTCTGACCTTTAAGTTAGATTTCAATAACATGGTTGTGGTATAAAGCTCTGTCTTCATTTTTAGCTCTAGTTGTTAATCTTGTTGTTTAGCAAAGTGAACAACAGTGTCCTAGTTCAGTCAGTTGTTAGCACTATATGTGGACTTACAGTCCTGGCAGCTGAAACTCAGCGTCTCTCCATGTGGCCTTGTTTCCACCCTCTCCCTCTACATGTGACATGGTTATTATTGAATCAGAATCACTGTTCACATGATTGTGGCTGTGTAAGTAGTTCTACTGCTGAGCCGTAGGGTTCTCTGGCTGTGCCTCTCTCCTGTACACCCTTCATTCTTCTCTAATATGACTGAAATCTGAGCACCTCTCCTCCTCCCCAGGACACTCCAAACCCCTTCTGCCTGGTCAACATGATCTCAGAGCCCAATGCAGAGAGTAGGCTGGTCTCCCTGCTTCAAAAATAATGTTTTTGTACCTAAGTCTTTGTGTGTGTGTGTGTGTGTTTGTGTGTGTGTGTGTAATACATTAATACATTTTGGGACTATATTCACTTCTTGTTTTCTAACAACTACTTTTCTTCTTAAAATGCTGTAGCATTCATGACAAGCCTGTCAAACATATTTTCTATTTACTAAACACATTTGTTCCATTTTCCATTGCAATCAATCTCCTCGGCCTGTGTTACTCTATTCTTGCACAGACTGGTTCCCTAGGCCTGCTCTGCTCCTGCTTTTTGGGCATATTTCTTTAAAGTCATCTGGGTCTCACATAACTGCTATCTTGTGTTAAATCCTCTTTGTATTAGATCAGTGATTTTCGATGTTTTTTATCCCATGGCAGACATAAACTTATTACTAAAATTCTGCAGCACACCAAAGAGATATATTTGGCTAATCTGACACATAATGAAATAGGTATAATTTTGATTCACTCACACTGAATGTATATTGTGTTGGCTGTTGTCATTTTTTTAAACTTGACAGTCTAAGGGAAGAGGTCAGGGCCCCTGTCTAAATAGTCAGGTATGTCATGTTTTAAAAACTCTTCAGTGTGCCGCCCGGGACACTGGTGGGAAGGCTCTGTCCCAGGTTGTGTGTTTTCCTCTGTCTTGTGATACACCCTGTGTACTGGAGCTCTTTGTCCTGGGAAAGGACCCATGGGCAGACATTTTTTAGAAATGATGCTTCTCTGGAATGCCTCCTACTCAATAAAATATAGAATTCTAGGTTGAAATTAATTTTTGCAGTTCTAAAGACATTTCTGCTGTGTTCCCATTTCAGTGTTTCTCTTAAATCTGTTGACATTGTTTGATATGTTGTATATATATTACCAATTCTAGATATTTCCCCATCCCCTTCTTCTCTGGACGGGTTTAGAACCTTCTCTATTCCTGGAATTCTGAACTTTTTTTTTTTTTTTTCCAGATAGAGCAGGAGGAAGAGAGAGAGAGAGAAAGAAACATCGATGTGAGAGAGACACTCGAATGATTGCCACCAAGAGGACCCCAACTGGAGCCGGGCACAAACCACAACCAAGGCATGAGCCCCTAGCGGGAGCCAAGTGGGCCAACACTCTAACCTTTGAGCCAAAACGGCTAGGGCTGGGATTCTGAATTTTTATATTATGATTTAATATGTACCTTTTCACTTTATTGTGACCATTAAGATGGCTGATCTTAGCTACTTTCATGAATTTTTTTTTCTTTTATAATTTCTGTATTCCTTCTTTTTTCTAGTATTCCCATTTCTCAGAATTTGGAACGCTTAGACCAGTATTCCTGCATGGATCTCTAAGTTGTTCCATCTCTTATTTTCCTTTTTGTCTTTTTCTACTTCCTAGAGATTTTCTTGAATTTATGTTCCAACACTTCTATAATTCTTTGTTTTGTCTGTCTTGTTTTTAATTTATAGTGTTCTCTTATATCTTGTCATGCTTGTCTTATAGTATTTTGTTCTTTTATCAATGCAAACTTTGCCTTTAGAAGGTTAAGAATTATTTTTTAAAGTGTTTCATTAGATCTTGAATTTTATCACTTTTAGTACTTTTTTTTTTATGCAATAGTTTTAGTTTGCATAGGACAGCTCATTTGCTGATACCATGGATTCTAAGTAGTTCTATTAAAGTAATTACAAAAACAAAGAATGTTCTTAGCATGTCGATTTTAATAAATGTTTTAACTTTTTTTTTTATCCTCACCCGAGTACATTTTTTTAAATTTTTTTATTTTGTGGTACATGCTCCTAGGGGGAACTGAACCTAAGACTCTCTGGTGTGCAGGCCGATGCTCAACGGCTGAGCCAAACTGGCCAGGGCCCAAGGATATTTTTCCATTTTTTGTTCAGACAGAGTTGAAGGGAGAAAGAGGAATGGAGAGAGAGAGAGAGAAACATCGACATGAAGGGGACACATTGAGTTGTTGCCTCCCGCAGGGCCCTGACCCAACCAAGGTCTGGGACAAACTGCAACCAAGGTACGTGCTCTTAGCGGGAACCAAACCTGGGCCTCTCTGGACCGCAGGCCAATGCTCTAACTGCTGAGCCAAACTGGCCAGGGCTCAACTATTTTTTGAGTTCAAATTTTTAAAAATTTAATGTCATTGGAATGACATTAGTAAATAAGAATATATAGGTTTGAAGTGTTAATTCCTAAGATACATGATTAGTATAATGCATTGTGTGCTCACCACACAAAGTCAGTAAACTTCAGCATTATGTTTTAGTGGATTAACATGAGGTAGTAGGCACAATGGTTGGGGCAGGATTTCAACAGGTACTTCAGTTGATAGTAAGGTTTCAGATGTCACTTATTAGACTTTTAAGTATGGTTATATTTTTCTCTTTGCTATTGAACTTTAAGTCTACTATGTAACCCCTTCCCTTTTTTGCAAAAATTGTAAAAGTCCATCTACTCTGCCATTTGTGCTGAATGAATGAAGATGTGTTAGGATTTTTGTCCCTGTCTATTCTAGTGGCCAATCAAAATCCTTATGAACACTAAATTGTCAACAGTATTTTGGCTCTTTGGTTTTTATTTTTGATTATTTCCATTTTTATCTTTGTGTTTGTCAGTGTAGTTTATTGAGGTTGTAAGCCAGCAATAGTAAGATTTTAACCATAAAGAACAATTGTTTTACATTTTCAAGCAGGATGAGGGAAAGTAACCTCTGGCAGCCAGTATAGGCAGGCTTTGCTAGGAGGCTTAGTTCTGTCGCCCTCTATTGGATACAGACATTAAAACTGAAAAGTTGGAATAGTTGGGAGTGGGCCTGGGGTGAAGGGGGAATGTTCCCTGTTTCTTTGGTTGGATGTAGCCAGTAGACTAAGTTGTTGATTTACTAGCTGAGCCCCATTAGAGCTGTGAGCCAGTGTCTAAATTAAAGATTTTAAATGTTTTAGCACTAACATTTTCAAATACAAACCAGTATACATACATAATAGAAAAAGTTAAATAGAGAAAAATGAGAGCACATATCACCCAAAGCTTTACCCACCGGTATTTATTTTGGTGCAATTTTTTTTTCTATGCTTTTCACTCCCCCATATATATATATAGGTTTTGGGTCATAGTTGACTTTATTGTGGTATTTTATATGCCATATTATACCTTGATAGTAGTGATCTTAAAAGATAACTTTCCATTTAGCATAAAAGTATTTAAATGTATTTTCATACTGTATTTGTCCTTTTGCGATTCTAAATGTACATTACATATTAACTGCATAGCTTAAGGAACATATCAGAATTTTAACTATAGTTAAACATTTCAAGCATGAAGGAGAATGTATTCCTCCAGATAGTGATTCCTTTAGAAAATATGCCATCGGGCACTTGTGGTTCATGAGGAATACGTGGCTTTGAAGTAATACATTTGAAACAGGCAAATGGTGTCTTATGTAATATATGGTTTGTCTAGTTATTGGCTACTGGCAGTTTGTACGTGCTCTGTATTTTAAAAGACATCACCTAGATTTTCTCCCTGTCTTATCTTTGGTGTATTTGTGGGAGTACTGATGGAAACGTATGGCAGGTGATGAAAGCTGCTTTATATGAATGTGAGGAAGGAAGGCTCATCTAAATTAGTTTATAAACTACAACAGAACTGGACATAGACAACAATGCCCTGGGGGTGGTGGTAGGAAAGAGGGTGTCAATGGGGAAAAAAAGAAAAACATCTGTAACAAAAATTAATTTATTAATTTTTAAAAATACAACAAAACTGATATAGTAGGCAGTTACCTAGACATAAACACAGTAGGAACAATGGTCCAAGTGTGTCACCAGGGAGGAAAGTGTTGGGTGCCTAGCAACAGGGCAAACTGGGACACCAAGTGTTGTAGGGTGGACCTCGGCCCCAGGGTGACCTTCCCTTCTGAGCTTATCTCTGAAGAGTGAGTTTCTGATCTGCATCAAATAATCTTAGGAACAGAATCTCAGTTTTGTTTTGTTTTTATCCTCACCTGAGGACCACAGGGCGACACGCTAACCGCTGACCCAAACTGGCCAGGGCAAATTTCGGTTCCTATCACCACAGAGACAGAGGTTTAGATAAGCTAGAGATAACATCTAGCCCCAGAAAAGCAGCAAGGCTAGTCGGGACAATGCCTTGAATGATATCAGGGCCAGCTGCAGTGACTAATGACCCCCTGTCTTGGCACCAAACACCCAGTAGTGACCACAGCCCTGAGGGGACACACTTCAAAAGTTCATGAATATTCTCTTCACATCCTCTCTTCAGACCCTAACACCAACCCTACCATTGAGCCCAATCGGGCAGGGCAAGAAAAAAATGGAATGTTTAATTATTTGACATTTTAACCAAGAAAAAACACTTTTATAGGTTTAACTAACTGTGATATTTTCTCGCATTTCCCTTCCTCTTCAGGTGTCTCCAGGTCTGTGTGGAAAGCACAGCTCGTGCTCAACCATCTTTTTAGATGAGAGCACAATATCTGAGCCTAATGTTAGGATCACCGTGCATTGGTGAGTACAAATAGGTTGCCCAGGGCTCAGCAACAGATCCCTTATGCTACAGGCATCCTGCCCTATGTAATTTCAGTCATTTAATTGTCCTTTTCAGTGATCATGGTGAGAAACTGCTGTCAAGTATATAGTGATTTCAGGTTCCATTATAATCTTAGAGTGGATGGAAAAAAGGAAAACCAGTAAGCAAGTTAAACATCCCCCCAAAAGTATTTATCTTTACTTGATGCATTACCGTAGTTGAGACATTGCTGAACAATGAAAGGAGAGGTGCATTTTATTGAATGTTTTTAGAAAAAGTATTTCTTTATGGGATCTAGGCCTCTAACCATGTGTGCTCCTCTGGAAGCTTCTTCTGGAAGAAGGAACAGCTTGTCCCCTGCTGGCACCAGAGTGCATCTGCCTTTAGGTTTAATTGAATTTGTCAGGTTTCCTTGATCGTACATGTTTTTTTCTGCACTATTTTTATATAGAAATTCAATTCTCCTTCCAAAAAAAATGCATCAAACCAGTCTTAAGGAAAAAGCTTTCAAGCTAATTTATTGGTAAATAAAATTTGTTCAACTAAGGTTTTAATGTTATAGATGTATTAAATTTTGTTATCACTGATGCCACTTTTTTCAAAATCCATGTCTCTGAACACAGGCATTCCATTTCCCCTTTTTTGACACATTCTCTCACTCTCAAAGGAGTTTCGATAAGCTAAGGAAGGGTGGGAGGCATCACTAAATGAACAAGAACATCAAGAGTGATTCTGATTTTAACCCTAACTTATGTGTTCTCAAACTTGCTGCACACTGCAGTCACCTGGGAAGCTTTAAAAATGATCCAAGTCACACCCAGTGCCAGTTAAGTCAGGTCCTCTGAAGGTCAAGCCAGGCTGTTTTTTGTTTTTATTTTATTTTTTTAATTTTCATTTTTCTTTATTGATTTTAGAGAGAAAGGAAGGGAGAGGGAGAGAGACATAGAAACATTAATGAGAGAGCACATTGATTGGCCACCTCCTGCATGCTCCACACTGGGGATCAGGCCCACAACCTGGGCATGTGCCCTGACCGGGAATTAAAACAGCCACACTGGCCGGACAAGCCAGGTCGTTTTTAAAGCTCCTCTGATGACCCCATGTCCAGCTGAGCTTGGGCTGCACAGCCTGGTGAGAGCGTAGGAGAAAGTGAACTGCTCACTGCTGGGGGACCTTGAGCAAGTCAGTTTCAAGCCCTGGTCACCTCATCTGTGAAATGGGTTGTTGGCTTAAATGTCATCACAAGTTCACTGGTTCTTTTCAACTTACATGCTTCAAATTCTGTGATTTTAAAATCAATAAGATGAAACTGTTTGAAGTGCTATAGAAGTTAGTATCTTTGATGCTAACAAGGTTACAGGCCTCTTTATAAGTGCTACTATTCTGTAGTCCTAGTTATAACATTCAGATTTGCTTTCTCTCAATTATTTTGAGCTTCATTTTAGACACTGGGGGCAAAGAGGAAAAGCACATCACTTAACCTACAGCCCCCCTTGGTTTCCTATTGCAGAGCATCTGTGAATACCTTAGGAACACGGTAACTTACACTGTAGCTGAGGACATACACCTGCTCATTAAAGCTGTTTTGAACTAATTTGGAAATAAATGTTATTAATATTACACTGTGTCCTATTATGCTGCCTGGTTAGCTCTGCTTATTTTAGTAGATTTAGACCTATTGATTTTATAGGATCGTATATCTGCCATTACATTTTCTCATAATTATGTAAAAGTGATCTTAAATGACTTTATTTGGTGTGGAGCATTTTATTTACCTTCAGGGAAAAGATAGAAAATGGGTAGGTAGGTGGAAAAGCTACTGTGTGACTTAAGTTTAAGCATGTGTACAGATAGATGTGACTTGTGCAGGATGAAAGGTTTTGTGGGTAGAAGGCAAATGACAGGGGAGATGTGTAATAATGTGTATTATAATAATCATCCGAACATGTTTTCTGACAGCACATTCTGTAGTATTTTGGTTTTCCTCATATTGCTAAAAGGCAAAGAACTCCAACAAGGTGAAAAGTGCCCATGTGCTGTTCTGAGTGAGGATTCCATGGCCACTGGGCAGCTGGGCAGGTCTTCCCCCACCACAACCCCTTTTCAGACATGTCTTCAGACCTCACATAAAATCAGTTGTTAACAATTTTTTTTCTTTCCATAGCCTGGTATTTGCGATATATTACCACATTAAGAACAGGTGAGCTTTAAAACCTTTCTTCTTATTCTATCTAATCAACATACAAGATACAAAGTTTAGTGTTAGGCAATAACTACAGACATTATTGGAGTAAGCCATAGAGTGCTTTTACTACATTATTGAAGTAAATCATTGGTTTTTAAAAGTTATTGAAGATCCCAAAGCATACTTGTTTATGTGAGCTGTACTGATATTTTCTGTATTAGAAATTAAAATTGAGAACTAAACAATAAGTCCTTGTATCTTGGAACATGTATTTTCATAGCGCTGTTGAAATTTTGAGCTAATTTTTTGTCGTGGCAGATGGCCTTGTAGTAATAGGACGTTTAGCAGCCTCCCTGGCCTCTACTCACTAGATGCCAAAAGCACCCTCTTCCCACACCACGTGGTGACAGCAAAAACTGTCTCTAACTATGGTGAAATAATTCCTGGGGGACAAAACCACCCCTGATTGGGAACCATAATATTTACATAAATTTCACTTTTTTTAGTCCTCACTCAAGGACATTTTTCTATTTATCTTCTGATAGAAAGTGACAGAGAAAGAGAGAGAGAGAAATAGTCATGTGAGAGAGACACATTGACTGGTTGCCTCCCACATGACTCCAACCAGGGCCAGGTATCCAGACACATGCCCCTGACTGGAATTGAACCCACAACTCTTTGGACCAAGGGCCCATGCTTTAACCTCTGAGCCAAACCAACCAGGGCTACATCATTTTTTATACAATTTAATTTTTTCCATAAAAAAAAAATGTTGAGTGGAAATTGTGTTATCTATTTATATTTTTACAAATCTCTATGTGTCTAGTTTAATAAAAGACAACTGATTCCCATTGTATACCTTGTCTTCAATCATTTGTCATTACTTCAATCATCTCAATAATTTGTTTCAAAAAAACAGTATAGAGAAGACCCAGCCTCAAGAAGTTTTAAGGCTAGAAAAGGGTGTATTTTTAAAGCTTCAGAATATTGTGCACATTCTTCAATACTGTAGCAAAAGTCCACAAGTGCTGGTTTCTTAAATTAGTTCCAGTGGAATTTTAAATCATATCCCTGAAATTGTAGTTAGGTCTGTGTTAAATTACTGCTCATGTATCTACCTTGTCTGCTGAATGAGTCTATTTACTTGTAAATAATTTTATAATAATGTTATGCATTGGTCATTTGGAAAGTATTGGTTCACATTTTTTTTTTTTTATCCTCACCCGAGGACATTTTTCCATTTTTTGTTCAGATAGAGCGGGAGGGAGAGAGAGGAAGAGAGAGAGAGAGAGAAACATCGATGTGAAGGGACACATCGAGTGGCTGCCACCCGCACAACCAACCAGGGCCGGGGACAAACTGCAACCGAAGTACGTGCCCTTAGCGGGAACCGAACCTGGGTCTCTCTGTACCGCAGGCCGACGCTCCAACTGCTGAGCCAAACTGGCCAGGGTGGTTCACATTTTTTTATACAGTGTGTTCAGACTCACTTTTGTTAGTGTCATATCACCACCAGACTTACCAGAAAAGCTATTAAAAGGCTGTCAAGCTCACAACATGCTACATGTTTACCCCATCTTGATTTGTAGCATGTTAGCTTGAATTATGTCATTGAAAACAAACATACAAGTTATTTTCCTTGGACTGACAGTCTCACTTTTCAGTTTTGAGAGAATGACAGTTGTATTTATTCTCACACATAGAAATGTTATTTTATGAAAAACATAGTTTGTTCAGCTCACAGCCATGTCTCAAGTGCTTTTCCTCAACACAGCCATGTTTCTGTATGCAGAAGTGCTTAATGCATGAATATAAAAGAAGAATCAAAGATAATGCCATTATTCACTGTTATTTCTTTATCAAAGATATTGAAAGAGCAGAACATTTTTCAACAACAGGTGTCAGTGAAGAATAGAATGACTGCACGAACAATGTGGTACCCCTGCTTGAGTCATGCTCAGAGACCATTTTACTGACTTTTGTTTTTATACAGTTGTTGCCAATGTCAGTGTAACAGCAGGCAATGCCTTGGTATGTCTATAAAAACAGTTTTCGCATCGTGGGTCTTCTGAAAATGGTCTAGGGTTACCCCAGAGGCCTGCAAAACACACTTGGAGAACCACTATTTAAATTAGCAGAGTGTGTTGGATTAGTGTGGTACACTTCAAACAAATAAAGGACTGCTTGTCCGGCCTGTGCGCGCTGTGGTTTGGAACATACAGAAAGGTTGTTGGTTTGATTCCTGTTCAGACACATACCTGGATTTCAGGTCTATTCCAATGTCTGTCTCTCTCTCTTTCTCTCTCTCTGTCTTTGTCTCCTTCTTTTTCTTTCTAAAATAAGTAACAATTATTTCAAGTAACCTGCTCACTTTTAAACAGAACAAGCTTTGTTTTGTTTTTTAATTCTCACCCGAGGACACTTTTGCATTTATCTTCAGATAAAGTGGGAGGGAGAGAGGGAGGAAGAGAGAGAGAAACATTGATGTGAGCCAGATACATTGACCAGCTGCCACCCACACGACCCCAACCAGGGCTAAGGACAAACTGCAACTGAGGTACATGCCCTTCGAGGAGTCCGAACCCGGGTTTCCCTGGTCCACGAGCTGACACTCCAACCACTGAGCCAAACAGACAAGCTTTGAACGGAAACTATTTAAAAGAGATAAGAAGAAATACATAGTAAGAATATAATATAGGAAACAAATAAAAGAAAAAACATGAATCTCGTACTCACCTGCACGATTGCCCACCACTGCTGCCTCATCAATGTTCTGCTGTATTCCAGTGTGAGCTCAGGGGCTGGAAATAGATTTGGTTGACCCGCATTGCCTATCAGGGAGGGTCAGTGCTCATAAAGGTAACTCAGGCTGGTCAGTGTAGAAAAGATTTCCCAGAATTTCATGTACTGAGTGAAAAGAGGTCAGAAAATCCTTACAGAATCTGAGAATATGTCGAAGGACTGTATTCGAGGTTAAGCTTCTGCCTCCACCTTTCTGTTTACTGTCAGCAGATGTGTTACTAAGTTAGCAACACGTCCTGGATTTGTTTTTTAAATACATGTTCTTATTTTATAGAGATGCACACAGAACCAAGGATATTTTTGAGGAGCACTTGCATCGATTTATAGTAAGTGTCAGCTGTATTGAGGTTGGATTTTTCTCTCATACAGTCATGATTATTTCATAGTGATTTGCTTTGAAGTTCATTACTGGAAGAAAAGACTCCCTCCAGCTTGAAGTCAAATTTTTCTTCCTTTAAGTGTTCTTCTCCACCTTTTGTTGTATCTAATTATTTTACCAAAAAATGTTGTATAAGAAATATGTCAGTAAGAACTGAGTTGCAGCTTTGTATAATTAGTGAGCTAAGGTGGGTAAACATGCCCCTACCCAAAATGTATCTTTTTAAAAGATAATTTTCAGTACCATCAAACTATATAAATATTTGTAAATAAACCTAAGATATGTTAAGACCTCTATGAAGAAACTTAAACAACTCTTTAAATTCTGAATGAACTGGAACGACCAGACTGTTCGGCTCCCCCTCCAGAGGCTCTGCAGCGATGTGCGGCTGTGAGGCTGTGCAGCAGGGCCCAGCCTCGGCACCTGCCCGTTACAGGGACCTGAGAGTATATATTCAGAGCTGACCCAGAGCAGTAGGACAGGGCAATCAGCAAGACTTTTGAGCCTAAAGCTAGTTTATATTTAGATAGAATTCTGTAGGGAAGGTGGAAAGGCACTTCCATATGAGTTTTCTGAGGTTGTGCCTGTATTTACCTTTAATGAGTGGTGGTTTTGCATCACTATTGTTTTTTCAAGTTCCATTGTTTACACCTAAAATACTGAAACACAGGTCACCCATTGAAAATTATTCTCAGGGGCACGTGGGCACAAGTAGAAGACTGCCACCATAGAAGTACTTAAGTGTTTTTCTTCACTGGATACTTACATTGCATTTTCTCCTTTCAGGAAGAAACAGATCCAAAGGAATATTTTCTTCATAGTCCTGATCTCGGATCTATTTACACATTCATTCGTCCTCTTTTTTTTTTTTTTATCCTCACCCGAGGATATTTTTCCATTTTTTGTACAGATAGAGTGGGAGGGAGAGAGAGGAAGAGAGAGAGAGAGAGAAACATCGATGTGAAAGGGACACATTGAGTGGCTGCCACCCGCACGACCAACCAGGGCTGGGGACAAACTGCAACCGAAGTACGGGCCCTTAGCGGGAACCGAACCCGGGTCTCTCTGGACCACAGGCCGACGCTCTAACCGCTGGGCCAAACTGGCCAGGGCCATTCGTCCTCTTTTTAATGCCTTCAAGCTAACCGGTGAATTTGCAGTAGCAACTTTGGTAAGATAGTTCTTCTTTCAGGAAGCATCTTTTCTGTCTTGTCCACAGGGTGTGATCTTGTTTTTCAAATAAAAGTAGGTTCCTGAAAAAATCATCCAAACTTTATTAGAGACACCTATCCAAGGATGTGAAATACACACATTTCAGGTTAATAATCATTATGATTTCAAATGTCCTTGCTTTTCTCATCACAAAACACCTGCTATTTGAGGCAGCAGGAGAGAGTTCTGGTTTCTGCCTCCACCCCTCAGGAGACACGTGCACATGCAGTGCACACACATGCACACGTACCAGGTATGCTGACAGGCAGGAAGGGAAATAACAAAACCTCTGGTTCCCCAGCAGTGACTGATTCAGTGTAGGTCTGAGCTGCATCCCAGGCTGTATCCCCAGGCAGTTCTGACTGTGTCCTGATTGAGAACCGGAGCCCTGAATTCTCTGTTCCTTGGATGATGGGTGTAAATCCATCCCTGCTGTCCTCCTGTGCCTGCCTGTGATGTTGCCCAGGATTCTAGTGCCAGTAGTTCCTGAACAGGCTGTGCGAGTTGCCTGCTAAGCTACGCTGTGTGAGGTCCTTTGTGTCATTCATACAGAATTCCTATGTAAGAGTTTCTTCTTTGGAATAAGTAGTCCTATTCTTGTGAGAAGTGGTCGGGATTGTATC